GTTGACTGATTGATGGATTGATTTTCCAAAAGGTCCCCCATACACAACAGATCAACATCTTGTAGACAACAGACTGTCTACTGTCTGTGGAAAGGATTTGAGTACTGCCGTCTGGATGGACAGACACCGCATGAGGAGAGACAATCAGCAATCAATGCATATATAACATGCCTGGAAGTAAAAAGTTTATTTTCATGTTGAGCACCAGGGCAGGTGGTTTGGGGATCAATTTGGCCATGGCAGATATTGTGATTTTGTATGACAGTGATTGGAACCCTCAAGTGGACCTGCAGGCTATGGTGTGTAGCAGTATATGTGAATTTTGATTTAGTACTCATTCCTCAGTATGGCATCATGCATCTTTATCTCACATACATGTAGTGTCTTGTGGAAGTAGCTCATCCATATTAAGTGACTCTCCACCATGTGCGTGCCATGATGGACAGTCACTTAATGCCCACTGATCAAAAGTCTGTTGAACTCCAAAAGAGTCCAAGCTGTCCCAATACATTACAAGTAATCAATGAATTAATAGTATGTAATGGATGTCCAGAAAACTGCTGTTATGAAGCCTTTTAGTCAAGGAGCAGTTGATGTTAAAAAATAGATAGAAGATATTTGAGTCTCCCTCAAACTCATCATTGACTACCTCAAACCATTAAGTCAGAACAGCTGACGTAAATGAAACCAAACAAAAAATTTATGGGGTGGAGACTAAAATTCATTTCTTTTTGATCCACTGATTGTTTTATTAGAACAGGGGCCTTACCATCCACTTTGGAAATCTTTTTCTGCAATAACCTTGTGAAATTAGGAGTTCATTGTCTTCCATTTATGCAATACATATTTACTTATCTTACGACACACTAGTCTTACTTGTACATGCAAATCAAGTATAACTTTTTGTTGTTACCATTATGACAGGAACTTTGTACAACAATTTATGGACTTCCCTAAGCCTCTGATTGCTGCAGTCAATGGACCTGCGGAGGGAATATCAATAACAATCATGGGCCTGTTTGGCTTGATCTATGCATGAGATAAAGCTACATTTCACACACCATTTATGGAGCTAGGACAAAGCCCAGAAGGATGTTCCTCATTTATGTTCCCTAGGATAATGGGACCTGCAAAGGTACATTGTCTTGCCTCTAATTTCTGTTGAAACCTTTGTATAACACGAGGTAAAGAGCATATTTCAAATTATTGTCATAATTTGTGAAACTACACCATTAACTCTTCATCTTCTTTAGTCCAATGAAATGTTGCTTGCTGGACGGATACTGACAGCAGTTGAAGCAAGAGACTGTGGATTGGTTACAGATGTTTTCCCCCATGACAAGTTCACAGAAGAAGTTCAGAACAGCATACAAGCAATGGCCAAGCTGCCCCCCAAGGTAGAAAATTGAATTGTAGAATTTCACAGCAGGGCGCCCTCTACAATGGAGTTGCTGTAGCATTTGGAGACATGCTACTTGAAGGAGAGGGAGGGGGGGAAAGGGTTTTTTTGTGTAATCTCTTAAAGATATTCTCAGCCATATGGCTTCTCTCAATAAATTGTTGAAAGAAGCCTGAGAGTAAAACTTCAGTGTTCTTATGTGTATTCCCTTCAGCCTGAAAACAATTAAAGGCATCCTGCTTTACTCAAGTTTTATTGTAACATATAATCATAGTGATGAAGACAGGAGAGGAGTTTCCCATATTTTATTTATCAATTCTAATTTTTATCACAATCATTTATATTTAACTGTAGATGGTAGGGGCCTCGTGTGATACGTTATTTCAGACGACCAATCAATATTTTACACTATCATTCAAAAAGTGATCTGTTCTTTTTTTTTTTCTTTTTTTTTCAGTCTCTGCTGTTGTCCAAGCAGTTAATACGTGATTCTTTCTGCGATTTGTTACATGGAGCCAACGAAAAGGAGTTTACTTTACTTGAAGAACGCTGGCTTTCAGAAGAGTGTATGCAGGCCGTTATGGCTTTCATGCAGAGAAAGTCCAAATTGTAGCCCAGCTTTCATTTCCTTGCCGGATTGAAACTAGAGCTTTATCGAAGTCAACCACGATTATCGATGTTAAGGATTTTTTTTAACGATGTTAAGGATTTTTTTAAATTCGCTCTTCGCAAATTATTCAATCGTTAATCGGTCAATAGTTATTAATCTTATTTTACTGGTAGTATGTTCAGTCGAAAAAAGTAATTAAATGCAAGTGTTGAAACTGAAAATCGTCAGCGTTTTAGTATCACTTACTTACTTCAGGCAGTTTACCTGTATTTATTCAGACACATAAAGACCGTACGAGTGTGTTGCAGAGACAGTAGGCATCCTGGTATAAAACACGAAGTGGACTGAGGCATTAACATCAGAAAACCCAGAGGCAAAAGTAAACAAAGTGTTGTGGTTAGAAAAGGATTGAATGCGAGCTATGAAAAACTTAAATGACACATTTTTCAAAAATGCAAAAAACAAAGTGAGTTCAAACTAACAAGGATAACACTCAAAAAGAAGCTATAAACTTTTCGTTTGTCGAGTGAAAAAATTTGACCGCAGAAGGAAATAACCGCTTCAATTGCGTAGAATTGACTCGTATTTCAGGTTATGCTCAAACTTTTATGGGGTAAAAAAATTTCAGGAAGGTGGCTACATTACTGATTGGCAAACCGTAAAAATAGAGTTGATTTCTCATGCAAATAAAAACGGTACAGCAAACAAAATTGCTCGACTCATCATCTCTCAAATTTAACCAGAAAAAGGTTGATTGGTACGCTGAAATGGAACTTGGCTGTAAACTTAAATTTTATACCTCGTAGAATCAGCTCGATCTGGATAGATTTGCTCCTAGTACTAAGCCCCAGACCTTAACCCTATGATGAAAATTTCGCTATCGTTTCCCTGATATATTTTCGTGAAAAATTGTACAAGTCTGCGCCCAGATTAAGGACAATTTTCTTGAAAACTAAAAATATAAATTTAATTATAGAAACTGCTGCAACAGAATTGACAAGTCTGTCAACAACCTCTCATAAAAGACTTAAAAAGGAAGACGTCTTCCATTTTCTTAACCCTTTACACCGGTACCCTAATATCAGTATGGATATTCTCCACACTGTACTTTATACATTTCCTAAGGTGCAGACAAGGAGAATTTGTTTGCCAATCAAAAGATTCTTTCCCTGGTGAGAATTTTCTTTATTCTCTTGACCTTAATGTTTGATTCAGGGCTGATATTTTAGGGAGAAATTAGGTGCTAGACACTCTTAGGGTTTAAAGGATTAATAGTATTTCAAACTATTCTGACTGACTATTCTGTTATTTACACAGTTAGCTGCAACAATGTTGCCATAGGAAACTTTAAAAAAGCAGCAAAGAAAATCGGAAAGAGCAGAAAGAAAAATTATGGCTAAACAAGGGAGGAGTCATCATTTATCACCTGTGAAAGGGGGAGGTGTGGGTGGAGGATTTTTGAAGGATCACATGGTTTTCAGGGTGAGGTTAGATCTTGGGAAGCTGTTTGTCAAATCTCATTGAAAATATTTTCGGATATATAACCTCTAAGTTGAGCAACTAATTGGCGAGTTTTCGGCTCAGAAATGCATAGAGCCTCCACCAAACAGCAAAGGACATGCTAACGTATTTCTAGACCCTGACACCTGTCATGATCGTGATAAGATGAATTACATTGATCGAAACAGGGCAGTATTTTCACGACGTAGTCGAGAATAATTTGATTTGCATTGGTCTTGCTTCACTAAGCTGCTTTGGAATTAGCTAGAAAACCTCACACTACCCTCAAAATTGATAAGATGCAAAACCCCAACCGATCGTGACTTGAATCAATCATGTGTTACAATTTCCTTTCCACACTGTTTTTATACACTTCTTAAGGTGCTGACAAGGAGAATTTGTTTGCCAATCAAAAGATTCCTTCCCTGGTGACCATTTCCTTTATTCTCATGACCTTAATGTTTGATTCAGGGCTGATATTGTAGGGAGAAATTAGATACGAGTCACTCTTAGGATTTAAAGGATCATAGTCTCTCAGACTATTTCGACTGACTATTCTGTTGTACAGTTAGCTGCAAAAATGTTATCATAGAAAACTTTAAAAAAGCAGCAAAGAAAATCGGAAAGAAAAATTACGGCTAAACAAGGAAGGAGTCATCAGTTATCACCTGTAAAAAGGGGGAGGTGTGGGTGGAGGATTTTTGAAGGATCACATGGCTTTCAGGGTGAAGTTAGATTTAAGGAAGCTGTTTGTCTAATCTCATGGTAGATATTTTCGGATATATGACCTTTTCGTTTTAAGTTGAGCAATTGATTGGGGAATTTTCGGCTCAGAAATGCATAGAGTCTCCACCAAAGAACATGCCAACGTATAACCTTTCATGTTCGTGATAGGATGAGGACATTGAGCGAAACAGGGCAGTATTTTCACGACGTAGTCGAGAATAATTTGATTTGCATTAGTCTTGCCTCACTAAGCTGCTTTGGAATTAGCTAGAAAACCTCACACCACCCTCAAAATTGATCAGATGCAAAACCTCAACCAATCGTGACTTGAATCAACCATGTGTTACAATTTCCTCTCCAAACAATTACCACCCAGATGAAATGTCCACACCTAACAACTCAGAATTTGGTCTTCAACCTTCAAAATAAGCTACATCGATACAAAAAGTTTCTCTTCGGGGCCTCAGCAGCGACATTAATAGAAAGGGAGAAGAGGGAGGGTGTGAAAATGGGCACAGGGGAAGGGATGAGAAGAAACGAGCTCCCGTATATTGCCACATATGCAAATATCTATATCCGTCTCAGTTTCTGCCAACTGTCTCTTATGTAGAACAATAACTTGCATAAAGAACCCATTGTCTTTTTGACAGATAAAAGTTTCCAGTATCATGCGCTACAAATAGACCAAGGTCGCATTAGCTGTTTATTCCAGCTCCAGAGCTGATCAGCATTCTAGCAAAGTGAGTAACAATACCAACCGTATCAATGGAAAAGGTTTTAGAATATTTGGAGCCAAAAACTTTCAACAAAGTTCACTATGTGGCAGTGGGTTTTTGGATCCTCATCAGTATTATATTCTTCGCCATATTTGTTGACATGGAAAACAGCGAGTCCAGGTTTGATTTCCGCTGTGGCGGAGCGAAGAGTGAAAACGTCGACGTCGTCCGTGGAGAATGTTACGAGAAATATATGAAGCAATACAACAAATTTGGTTTTCCTATGTTTGGTTTCGTGATCATCAATTTTGTCTTTCTTGCACTTGTATGTGCTATTTACTCCCAAATAGTGAGATCCAAAGTCGATCAACTGTCGCGAGGCAACCGCAACGGTGATCAAGAGAGACAGCTGCGCGACCAAGACACTGCGTCATCCACTGGAAACAAGCTTTTTATCGCTTACTGCTGTCAACTATCGATAAGAATTGTTTTAGGAGTTATTTTCATCATCTTACAAACACAGTTGTTTTATCCTTTGAAGTTTTCCTCTAAGTTTAACTGTTATTTAACCGATGGAACCACTCAGCCAAGGAATTCATCTGACAACGCCCAAAACTCTACTTTACACTACTGTCACAATCAACGAGCGGAAAAGAAAACATTCTGGATGTACGCTGTCCTTACGGTGAATGGAATTCTTGTCGCTGGCATTCTGGTTGAAACCGTCTACCTTTTATCACGGGCATGCATTGAAAGGAGTTTCATGCAAGACTCAAAGTTTCTAAAAACCCATCTAAGTCTCAACCAACTCCTAGATGGACGAAAGTTTCAAGAATTCATCGAACGCACAAAGGAAATAATTGTTCAAGAGACCGAAGGACTTTTAGAACTCCAATCACCTTTTGTAGGTAATCCAGGCGACCACTCAACAGCTAAAAATTTGACTCTCGATCAGATTTACACAAACCTTGTGGTAATTCAGGACAGAGAAACGCATGACTTTACTGAAAACCGAGAGGAGCAACTCAAAGTTTATCCAAGGTCGCGCAACGAAAACTCACAACCGAAAAGCATGCAAGACCTTCTGGATGTTGAAAGTAAGAAAGTTTTAATCGTCGGTCGACCCGGAATCGGAAAGACACTATGTTGTATCAAACTTCTCAGAGACTGGGCATTGAATAAAGATTTCAAAGCGACATCAGGTGCCCAAGTCCATTTTAATGCTGCTTTCTTCGTAAAATTCAGAGGACTCGACTCGGCCAAAAACCTTAGCCTCAAAGATCTGTTGATTCAGTCCGAATATTTCCCTACAGGTTACATGGATGACAAGGTCTGGAATCACCTCCAAAAGAACCCTGAAGGTGTTCTCATGCTTTTTGACGGATTCGACGAATTCGAACATGACGAAAAGAAAACCAAGGCGTCTACTTATCCCAAAGGCATTGAAGATGAAAAGCCGCTCCAAATTCTTTATCAATGGCTTATGACCGGGAAACTTCTTAAAGATGCTTCAATTGTAACGACTACGAGACCTACAGCTTTGTCTGGCATCGCACATCTGAAGTTCGACAAAAGCTTTGAAATCCTTGGCTTCTCAACCGAGCAAATTAAAGAGTATATCGACAAATTCGCCGGAGATGACAAGCAAGCAGGCGAAACGCTATGGCGACACATCAGCAGCAACATGAACTTACTTTCGCTCTGTTATGTCCCTGTGAACAGCTTCATCATGTGCTCAAGTCTGTCAGAAATAATGCGGTTCGAATGTTCCGATAGTGTTACCCTGCCGTCCAAATTAACCACGATATACAAGATTGCGGTTAAAGTGTTTTATTTCAAACACACGAAAGAATTCCGCGATCAACATTTCACCCGCGAAAACTATCTGTCAGATAATTTGCCTTTGGCGGTGGAGGAGAAATTCAAGAAACTAGGAAGAGTGGCCTTTGAAGGAATCAAAGAAGGAAAACTGATCCTTGGAGGAAACGAAGTACAAGGATTGGAAGACAGCGCTCTTTTTCACCGCTTACCCGACCGTCGTGCCGCGTTAAAAGATGAGAAGGAATTCTGTTTCATTCACCTAACAATGCAAGAGTTTTTCGCTGCGAGGCACTTGGCGAGCGACTGGAGTGAAACAGAATTAAGAAACTTTGTTTCCAAGAACATTAAGAACGGCAAATGGCAGCTAGTTTTTCAGTTTCTAGCAGGACTTATGGAGGATAAAGTTCACCTACCAATTGAAATTATCACGGACCTTCTTCCTGTGAAAACTGAAGAAAGAGAAAGCGCAGACTACAACGAACAGTGGACTGAGAATGAAGAGCAAAGGAAAGTAACCTGCTGGCCGACTGAAGACGAACGAGAATTAGCAGTAACATTAATTAAATGTTTAAACGAAAATAGCAGAATGAACTTAGAAGCACAGAGAAAACTTCAACAAATGAACTTTAATTGTGTAAATTTTATTCGTTGTCACCTCACAGCTGTTGATTGCTCTTCGTTAGTAAATGTAATTAGTGTTCAACAAATTTCACATTTAGATTTGAGTGAAAATAACATTGGTCCATTAGGTTGTCTTGAGATTGGTAAACTGTTAAAATGTAGTGAATCTCAACTGAGCTGGTTAAACCTCACAAATAATCAGTTGTTAGATGAAGGAGCAAAGTATTTAGCTGACGCCATCAACAACAACAACTGTCAGCTACGCACGTTAAACCTCTCACAAAATAACATCTCACACATTGGAGCACAGCACTTGGCTGAAGCCATCAACAACAACAACTGTCAGCTACACACGTTAAACCTCTCAAGAAATAACATCTCACACATTGGAGCACAGCACTTGGCTGACGCCATCAACAACAACAACTGTCAGCTACACACGTTAAACCTCTCACACAATAACATCTCACACATTGGAGCACAGCACTTGGCTGAAGCCATCAACAACAACAACTGTCAGCTACGCACGTTAAACCTCACAGCAAATAACATCTCAGACATTGGAGCACAGCACTTGGCTGACGCCATCAACAACAACAACTGTCAGCTACGCACGTTAAACCTCTCAGACAATAACATCTCACACATTGGAGCACAGTACTTGGCTGAAGCCATCAACAACAACAACTGTCAGCTACGCACGTTAAACCTCTCAAGAAATAACATCTCACACATTGGAGCACAGCACTTGGCTGACGCCATCAACAACAACAACTGTCAGCTACGCACGTTAAACCTCTCAAGAAATAACATCTCACACATTGGAGCACAGCACTTGGCTGAAGCTATCAACAACAACAACTGTCAGCTACACACGTTAACCCTCTCAAGAAATAACATCTCACGCGTTGGAGCACGGTACTTGGCTGAAGCCATCAACAACAACAACTGTCAGCTACGCACGTTAAACCTCTCAAGAAATAACATCTCACGCGTTGGAGCACGGTACTTGGCTGAAGCCATCAACAACAACAACTGTCAGCTACACACGTTAAACCTCTCAAGAAATAACATCTCACACATTGGAGCACAGCACTTAGCTGACGCCATCAACAACAACAACTGTCAGCTACGCACGTTAAAACTCTCACTCAACACAAACATCACAGCAGCAGGTGAGCTAAAGGCACGTAATTTACTAAGCAATAGTCAGTCTAAATGTGAGCTAATAATTTGAACCACTTACTATTCAAAATAGCAGTGAGGTAACCAGCTCAGTGATAATTTCAACCCTTTGACTCAGCCCGTGAATAAATGAAAAACTAATCTGTAAAGTGCTCACAGCAGCGAGATTATTTGAACCGGATCGAAATGAAGAAAAATGAACCAATGAACATGTTTATTGAGAACAAAGGATGTCAAACTTTTTTATAAACGAACCAATAACATTGAAGTAAAAACACAAAGCTTCCTGCAGAGAAAACAAACAAACCTCGGACCTCTCAGGAAACTTTGTCATTTCATGATTGGTTAGTTTCGATCCTAACTTCTCTCCATCTTTCTTTACATTTTGATCACCTGAGACTGTTACACGGAACAGTTTTTCGTCTAGATATGTTTGGAGATTGTAAGGCGATCAGATGAGTAGAAGTAACTAGTAATACAGTAGAGATTGCTTGGTAGAATACCTAGTTCTTTTTTTGGGCTGTTTTTTCTTTTTTTTTAGATCGCAACGATCCGGTTCGAGTAGTACCGCAAAAAACAATTATAATTCAAATCGTCGTGCCTTAATCAAAAGCTTTTATTGTAGGTTAGTGGTGCGAGATTTTTTATCATACTAATTTTTAGAAATCTTTTGGTGTTTCTGCATCTTTTTGTAGATATTAGTGTA